TCAGGTCTATGACAATGTCTATATCAGGTCTATGTCTATATCAGGTCTATGACAATGTCTATATCAGGTCTATGACAATGTCTATATCAGGTCTATGTCTATATCAGGTCTATGACTATATCAAGTCTATGTCTATATCAAGTCTATGTCTATATCAAATCTATGTCTATATCTGGTCTATGACTATGTCTATATCAGGTCTATGACTATATCAGGTCTATGACTATATCAGGTCTATGTCTATATCAGGTCTATGTCTATATCAGGTCTATGTCTATATCAGGTCTATGTCTATATCAGGTCTATGTATATATCAGGTCTATGTCTATATCATCAGGTCTATATCAGGTCTATGTCTATATCAGGTCTATGTCTATATCAGGTCTATCAGGTCTATCTATATCAGGTCTATGACTATATCAGGTCTATGTCTATATCAGGTCTATATCAGGTCTATGTCTATATCAGGTCAATGTCTATCAGGTCTATCTATATCAGGTCTATGTCTATATCAGGTCTATGTCTATATCAGGTCTATGACTATATCAGGTCTATGTCTATATCAGGTCTATGTCTATATCAGGTCTATGTATATATCAGGTCTATGTCTATATCAGGTCTATGACTATATCAGGTCTATGTCTATATCAGGTCTATGACTATATCAGGTCTATGTCTTTATCAGGTCTATGTCTATATCAAGTCTATGTCTATATCAGGTCTATGTCTATATCAGGTCTATGTCTATATCAGGTCTAGGACTATATCAGGTCTATGTCTATATCAAGTCTATGTCTATATCAGGTCTATGACTATATCAGGTCTATGTCTATATCAGGTCTATGTCTATGTCTATATCAGGTCTATGTCTATATCAGGTAAATGGCTATGGCAATATCAGGTCTATGTCGATATCAAGTCTATGTCTATATCAGGTCTATGACTATATCAGGTCTATGTCTATATCAGGTCTGTCTATATCAGGTCTATGTCTATGTCTATATCAGGTCTATGTCTATATCAGGTCTATGTCTATATCAGGTCTATGTCTATAACAGGTCTATGGCTATGTCAGGTCTGTTGCAGTGATCTAACAGGAGTCACTGTTGCAGTGATCTAACAGGGGTCACTGTTGCAGTGATCTAACAGGAGTCACTGTTGCAGTGATCTAACCGGAGTCACTGTTGCAGTGATCTAACAGGAGTCACTGTTGCAGTGATCTAACCGGAGTCACTGTTGCAGTGATCTAACAGGAGTCATTGTTACAGTTATCTAACAGGGGGTCACTGTTGCAGTGATTTAACAGGCGTCACTGTTACAGTTATCTAACACGGGGTCACTGTTGCAGTGATCTAACAGGCGTCACTGTTGCAGTGATCAAACAGGGGTCACTGTTGCAGTGATCTAACAGGCGTCACTGTTGCAGTGATCTAACAGGCGTCACTGTTGCAGTGATCAAACAGGGGTCACTGTTGCAGTGATCTAACAGGAGTCACTGTTGCAGTGATCTAACAGGAGTCACTGTTGCAGTGATCTAACAGGAGTCACTGTTGCAGTGATCTAACAGGAGTCACTGTTGCAGTGATCTAACAGGGGGTCACTGTTGCAGTGATCTAACAGGGGGTCACTGTTGCAGTGATCTAACAGGAGTCACTGTTGCAGGGGGTGAGATCACTGCACCACCTGGCAGGAGAAGTCCTTGAACCGGGCTTCGACGATCTAAATACGATTCCCTCATGCAAGTGTATCCCTCTGTACACTATTCACTGTTCACTGTTCACTGTATATGACCAGGTACTCTGAACCTAGACCACAAAAGAATGTCTCCTTCAAGACAGTTATGAATCCTCAGATATTGCACATGCAAACTGGATCAATTTATACCCTAATTGAATTGGGTTTGAGTGGACAGGAGACGCTATCACGAAACAATTGATTTCAATTTCAATTAAATTGAATCCATCCATAGACAAGCGACTGTCGTAGATGTAAGTTTATACATCCCCTCGGTGGATGGAAGATCTTTGGGGATATCTGTGTTCAGCCTGGCCTCCAAAAATGGGGTGGTAAATGTAAGAAGACAAGTGCAATTGTGTACTATTCATAAGTTAGGAATTGTACTTATTTTCACTTAGTATTACATCGTACTGTGAAATATATTGGGAATATTTGAGTTTACCTGAAAAACTGAATAGAAAACCACAACCTCACCTAACCGTCTTAGTTTTTGAAGATAATAATTTTATTGCTTCTTAATTACAATTATACTTAACCTATAGCTATATTAATATTACAGTTTTATAAAACTAATAAAACAAAATTAAAATATATCAATAAATTTTAAAGTAACTTAGTATATTTTAAAATTTTGTATAAAATCTATATTGTTTATAAAACATGAAAAAGAAATTTCTGATATTTAAAACTTGTGTTTAGCAAATAGAAATTGAAAATTAAAAACTTGATCTTAAAATTCTGAGTCTCTTAACAGAAAACGAGGAGAATGAAATTTAGGGAGGGAGTTGGGTAAATGCAACAGCCCCATAAGTGCAATTATGCACTGTTTATGAGAGTAAGAAAATGTACATATTACACATAGTATTAAATCGTACTGTCAATTGGGAGGATGGGTTGCAGCGTTGGGATATCTATGAGTTCACTGGTACATAAGTTTTGAAGACAACAGATTGGTGAGGCAGATTAAAATTCTTTGCTTGCATCTTGCAGTGCAACTTGCCATGAAAGGTGTGCTAGTGTATGCAGGTGTGTGGAGAACAGTGCCACACCTTTCTGTATCTGCATCAATATTGACGATACAGATAATATTTCTATGTTATCCCGTGCATGTTAATGATGCAGGAATCTTTAGTATTAGCATATATTTATGTTAATTGCGTTTTTTTTATTACATAATATGTAAACATTGATGATGTAAACATTGATGATCTATGTAAACATTGATGATCTATGTAAACATTGATGATCTATGTGAACATTGATGATCTATGTGAACATTGATGACCTTTATGAACATTGATGACCTTCGTGACCATTGATGACCTTCGTGACCATTGATGACCTTCGTGACCATTGATGACCTTTGTGACCTTCGTGACCATTGATGACCTTCGTGACCATTGATGACCTTTGTGACCATTGATGACCTTCGTGACCATTGATGACCTTTGTGACCATTGATGACCTTCGTGACCATTGATGACCTTCGTGACCATTGATGACCTTCGTGACCATTGATGACCTTCGTGACCATTGATGACCTTCGTGACCATTGATGACCTTGTGACCATTGATGACCTTCGTGACCATTGATGACCTTTGTGACCATTGATGACCTTCGTGACCATTGATGACCTTTGTGACCATTGATGACCTTCGTGACCATTGATGACCTTCGTGACCATTGATGACCTTCGTGACCATTGATGACCTTCGTGACCATTGATGACCTTCGTGACCATTGATGACCTTCGTGACCATTGATGAATGTGGTCGGTGGCAGCCTTGGACAAGTACATCCTTAGTGGGGTTCTCTCCACCCGTATACATACTAGTCAAGATAAGTCAATAGATTCTACAAACTTCTCTCATATATACAATAAGTATATACGCTCAGTATATTCACTACATGGACTTCTCAGTTATGTATAGACAAAGTATACTTGGTGGTTGGTTAGTTAGTGTGGTGGTGGTAACAACCATCCTGATGTTGAAATGCCTTAACCCCAGTGCTAATTTATGTCGCCACAGCGATATAGTCGTTGTTGATATATGTACGCTGGATATACTATAAGGCAGAGCCGGGAGACAGTCTCTCTCGCTCGCTCTCTCTCTCCCTCTCGCTCTCTCCCTCTCGCTCTCTCCCTTCCCTCTCGCTCTCTCGCTCTCTCCCTCTCGCTCTCGCTCTCTCCCTTTCGCCCTCTCGCTCTCTCGCTCTCTCCCTCTCGCTCTCTCCCTTTCGCTCTCTCGCTCTCTCCCTCTCGCTCTCTCGCTCTCTCACTTCGCTCTCTCCCTCTCGCTCTCTCCCTCTCGCTCTCGCTCTCTCGCTCTCTCCCTCTCGCTCTCTCGCTCTCTCCCTTTCTCTCTCTCTCTCTCTCGCTATCTCCCTCTCTCGCTCTCTCGCTCTCTCTCTCTCGCTGTCTCCCTCTCTCGCTCTCTCGCTCACTCCCTCTCTCTCGCTCTCCATCTAACAAAGAATGTCCTAAAGACTGTTCACCATCAAAGGGTGGCAAGGAAGGCAAGTTCCTCCAGACAGCAACATGGGGAAACAAGTAAAATAGATCATGTTGACAAGTTCAACAGCTTGCAATATTTTCATACATGTTTATTATTAAATCCTTTAGTACTCGCCTAGTTGTGCTTGCGGGGGGTTGAGCTCTGGTTATTTGGTCCCGCCTCTCAACTGTCAATCAACTGGTGTTAAATTATTTAGTGTGACCCAACAGAAGAGTATTAATAAACCTTCAAAGGTGAGTCAGATTGGGTTCAAGTTTCATTTACAAATTGAGACATAAAACTCATTCAAAAATAAAACATTTCATTAATTGCGTTAGACTCCAAGTAAGGAAATTTGGGATCAAATTTCAGGAAACGAATAAACCGTGTTTTAATTGAAATAAATTTCTCCAGACGCTCTTTGAAGGACTGAAGGTACAAGGAGCTGGGATATGAGGACAAGGAGCTGGGATACGAGGACAAGGAGCTGGGATATGAGGACAAAGAGCTGGGATATGAGGACAAGGAGCTGGGATACGAGGACAAGGAGCTGGGATATGAGGACAATGAGCTGGGATATGAGGACAAGGAGCTGGGATATGAGGACAAGGAGCTGGGATACGAGGACAAGGAGCTGGGATATGAGGACAAGGAGCTGGGATATGAGGACAAGGAGCTGGGATATGAGGACAATGAACTGGGATATGAGGACAAGGAGCTGGGATATGAGGACAAGGAGCTGGGATATGAGGACAATGAACTGCGATATGAGGACAAGGAGCTGTGGTATGAGGACAAATAGCTGGAATACGTGGACGGAGTGAAAGAACAGTGCCCAATCACTTAACCCATCATGGGTCGAACGACAAATTCGCAAGATTCAAGGTTATCTTCCAGAAACGCTATGCATGTTAGTGGCTCTACAAGAATGTAAAAAAAATAATAATATGATATATCATGCTTGTGAAACTATGTAATTACCAGGTTAACTCCTAGGAGACGAGTCTCCTAGGAGTGACCTAGGAGACGAGTCTCCTCGGAGTGACCTAGGAGACGAGTCTCCTAGGAGTGACCTAGGAGACGAGTCTCCTAGGAGTGACCTAGGAGACGAGTCTCCTCGGAGTGACCTAGGAGACGAGTCTCCTAGGAGTGACCTAGGAGACGAGTCTCCTCGGAGTGACCTAGGAGACGAGTCTCCTAGGAGTGACCTAGGAGACGAGTCTCCTCGGAGTGACCTAGGAGACGAGTCTCCTAGGAGTGACCTAGGAGACGAGTCTCCTAGGAGTGACCTAGGAGACGAGTCTCCTAGGAGTGACCTAGGAGACGAGTGTCTTAGACCAGTCGCCTGTGGACGTTCGTCAGCACTGTGAGTCGCGTTGCTACCAACTTGCTGCATATACTTGAATTTTGCACTTAGGAATAGTTTAAGTGTCTAAGTGTTAAGTGAGTCGATTGAGTTGTCATTAGTGTTAGACTTTTATATAACTTTATATTACGTGTAATAGACAGTTGTATTGTAAGTGTAGCGCCAGTACCCCCCAGTGTACCGGGGCCTCCAGTAGCCCCAGTGTACCGGGGCTTCCAGTAGCCCCAGTGTACCGGGGCCTCCAGTAGCCTCAGTGTACCGGGGCCTCCAGTAGCCCCAGTGTACCGGGGCCTCCAGTACCCCCCAGTGTACCGGGGCTTCCAGTACCCCCAGTGTACCGGGGCTTCCAGTAGCCCCAGTGTACCGGGGCCTCCAGTAGCCCCTGTGTACCGGGGCCTCCAGTACCCCCCAGTGTACCGGGGCCTCCAGTACCCCCAGTGTACCGGGGCCTCCAGTAGCCCCAGTGTACCGGGGCCTCCAGTAGCCCCTGTGTACCGGGGCCTCCAGTAGCCCCAGTGTACCGGGGCCTCCAGTACCCCCAGTGTACCGGGGCCTCCAGTAGCTCCAGTGTACCGGGGCCTCCAGTAGCCCCTGTGTACCGGGGCCTCCAGTACCCACAGTGTACCGGGGCCTCCAGTAGCCCCAGTGTACCGGAGCCTCCAGTACCCCCAGTGTACCGAGGCCTCCAGTACCCACAGTGTACCGGAGCCTCCAGTACCCCCCAGTGTACCGGGGCCTCCAGTAGCCTCAGTGTACCGGGGCCTCCAGTAGCCCCAGTGTACCGGGGCTTCCAGTAGCCTCAGTGTACCGGGGCTTCCAGTAGCCTCAGTGTACCGGGGCTTCCAGTAGCCCCAGTGTACCGGGGCTTCCAGTAGCCTCAGTGTACCGGGGCCTCCAGTAGCCTCAGTGTACCGGGGCCTCCAGTACCCACAGTGTACCGGAGCCTCCAGTACCCCCAGTGTACCGGGGCCTCCAGTAGCTCCAGTGTACCGGGGCCTCCAGTACCCCCAGAGTACCGGGGCCTCCAGTAGCCCCAGTGTACCGGGGCCTCCAGTACCCCCAGTGTACCGGGGCCTCCAGTACCCCCAGTGTACCGGGGCCTCCAGTAGCCCCAGTGTACCGGGGCCTCCAGTACCCCCAGTGTACCGAGGCCTCCAGTACCCACAGTGTACCGGAGCCTCCAGTACCCCCCAGTGTACCGGGGCCTCCAGTACCCCCAGTGTACCGGAGCCTCCAGTACCCCCAGTGTACCGGGGCCACACTGAGCCTCTATCCACCAGTACACAGGAACACACGATACACTTCACGTATAGTGTCTCATAACGTTAATCGTTAAGTAATTGTTTCAGGTTGTTGGGGAAGAGGAAGCTTGTTAGGCTTATCGGCTCAGCCACGCCCTTGGGCCCGAGGGACTCCTAGCCCAGGTGTGAGGGTCTCCTAGCCCAGGTGTGAGGGTCTCCTAGCCCAGGTGTGAGGGACTCCTAGCCCAGGTGTGAGGGACTCCTAGCCCAGGTGTGAGGGTCTCCTAGCCCAGGTGTGAGGGTCTCCTAGCCCAGGTGTGAGGGACTCCTAGCCCAGGTGTGAGGGACTCCTAGCCCAGGTGTGAGGGTCTCCTAGCCCATCTGCGAGGAGCTCCTAGCCCAGCAGCGTGCCCAACCGGTTAGGGTAGTAGGAGTCACTTCAAGCGTCAACATTGACCTGGTCAATACACTGGAGCCCAGAATATTGACCTCTGTGACAGCGTTGTTGACCTTGTTAGGCTCCCTCCACCCTTCAAAAGAACCAATTACTCTTTACAATGACGCCTCACTAGGCAATTTAAGCCATAAAGTTACTGAATATTTTGGTCAACAAAAATGTTTTCCTATGATGATGCTTTAACGACCGTTTATGAGACGAGTCGGCCAATAGCGTGGCGAATGGCCTCGTAACGAGCGTCTATCAGCCGGTTACAGCTGCCTCGTTACCCACAATGACACGTGCACCACCCAGCTTGATGCTGCTACTGGGGGCACAGCTGTTCTGCCTCAACCCTCATCATGAAGATAAGATAAGGAACTGTGGTGTGGTCGACCAGGGTATATCCTGGTCGACACCTGTCGAGGTAGTGTGGTCGACCAGGGCGACACCTGTCGAGTTAGTGTGGTCGACCAGGGTGACACCTGTCGAGGTAGTGTGGTCGACCAGGGCGACACCTGTCGAGGTAGTGTGGTCGACCAGGGCGACACCTGTCGAGGTAGTGTGGTCGACCAGGGCGACACCTGACGAGGTAGTGTGGTCGACCAGGGCGACACCTGTCGAGGTAGTGTGGTCGACCAGGGTGACACCTGTCGAGGTAGTGTGGTCGACCAGGGTGACACGTGTCGAGGTAGTGTGGTCGACCAGGGTGACACCTGTCGAGGTAGTGTGGTCGACCAGGGCGACACCTGACGAGGTAGTGTGGTCGACCAAAGCGACACCTGTCGAGGTAGTGTAGTCGACCAGGGCGACACCTGTCGAGGTAGTGTGGTCGACCAGGGTGACACCTGTCGAGGTAGTGTGGTCGACCAGGGTATAGCCTGCTGCTCTCTGAGGACACCTGTCAAGGCAGAAAAAACATTTAATACTTTAAAAAATCATAATAAAACCTAATAAACAATATTACCATACAACACCCTAAACTGCTACACCCAGGTAACACTCCATACAACACCCTAAACTGCTACACCCAGGTAACACTCCATACAACACCCTAAACTGCTACCCAGGTAACACTCCTACAACACCCTAAACTGCTACACCCAGGTAACACCCACCCTAACTGCACACCCATACACTCCATACACCCTAAACTGCTACACCCAGGTAACACTCCATACAACACCCTAAACTGCTACACCCAGGTAACACTCCATACAACACCCTAAACTGCTACACCCAGGTAACACTCCATACAACACCCTAAACTGCTACACCCAGGTAACACTCCATACAACACCCTAAACTGCTACACCCAGGTAACACTCCATACAACACCCTAAACTGCTACACCCAGGTAACACTCCATACAACACCCTAAACTGCTACACCCAGGTAACACTCCATACAACACCCTAAACTGCTACACCCAGGTAACACTCCATACAACACCCTAAACTGCTACACCCAGGTAACACTCCATACAACACCCTAAACTGCTACACCCAGGTAACACTCCATACAACACCCTAAACTGCTACACCCAGGTAACACTCCATACAACACCCTAAACTGCTACACCCAGGTAACACTCCATACAACACCCTAAACTGCTACACCCAGGTAACACTCCATACAACACCCTAAACTGCTACACCCAGGTAACACTCCATACAACACCCTAAACTGCTACACCCAGGTAACACTCCATACAACACCCTAAACTGCTACACCCAGGTAACACTCCATACAACACCCTAAACTGCTACACCCAGGTAACACTCCATACAACACCCTAAACTGCTACACCCAGGTAACACTCCATACAACACCCTAAACTGCTACACCCAGGTAACACTCCATACAACACCCTAAACTGCTACACCCAGGTAACACTCCATACAACACCCTAAACTGCTACACCCAGGTAACACTCCATACAACACCCTAAACTGCTACACCCAGGTAACACTCCATACAACACCCTAAACTGCTACACCCAGGTAACACTCCATACAACACCCTAAACTGCTACACCCAGGTAACACTCCATACAACACCCTAAACTGCTACACCCAGGTAACACTCCATACAACACCCTAAACTGCTACACCCAGGTAACACTCCATACAACACCCTAAACTGCTACACCCAGGTACACACTGCTACACCCAGGTACATACAACCCTAAACTGCTACACCCAGGTAACACTCCATACAACACCCTAAACTGCTACACCCAGGTAACACTCCATACAACACCCTAAACTGCTACACCCAGGTAACACTCCATACAACACCCTAAACTGCTACACCCAGGTAACACTCCATACAACACCCTAAACTGCTACACCCAGGTAACACTCCATACAACACCCTAAACTGCTACACCCAGGTAACACTCCATACAACACCCTAAACTGCTACACCCAGGTAACACTCCATACAACACCCTAAACTGCTACACCCAGGTAACACTCCATACAACACCCTAAACTGCTACACCCAGGTAACACTCCATACAACACCCTAAACTGCTACACCCAGGTAACACTCCATACAACACCCTAAACTGCTACACCCAGGTAACACTCCATACAACACCCTAAACTGCTACACCCAGGTAACACTCCATACAACACCCTAAACTGCTACACCCAGGTAACACTCCATACAACACCCTAAACTGCTACACCCAGGTAACACTCCATACAACACCCTAAACTGCTACACCCAGGTAACACTCCATACAACACCCTAAACTGCTACACCCAGGTAACACTCCATACAACACCCTAAACTGCTACACCCAGGTAACACTCCATACAACACCCTAAACTGCTACACCCAGGTAACACTCCATACAACACCCTAAACTGCTACACCCAGGTAACACTCCATACAACACCCTAAACTGCTACACCCAGGTAACACTCCATACAACACCCTAAACTGCTACACCCAGGTAACACTCCATACAACACCCTAAACTGCTACACCCAGGTAACACTCCATACAACACCCTAAACTGCTACACCCAGGTAACACTCCATACAACACCCTAAACTGCTACACCCAGGTAACACTCCATACAACACCCTAAACTGCTACACCCAGGTAACACTCCATACAACACCCTAAACTGCTACACCCAGTAACACTCCATACAACACCCTAAACTGTACCCAGGTAACACTCCATACAACACCCTAAACTGCTACACCCAGGTAACACTCCATACAACACCCTAAACTGCTACACCCAGGTAACACTCCATACAACACCCTAAACTGCTACACCCAGGTAACACTCCATACAACACCCTAA